GGAGAGAAACATCGATGTTCAAGAGATATTTTGATCGGTTGCCTCTCACATGCCCCTAACTGGGGACCTGCAGGGCCCACAACCCAGGCATGTGCCCTGACTGGGGATCAAACTGGCAACCTTTCTGTTTACAGGCCGGCACTCAGTCCACTGAGCCACACTAGCCAGGGGTTTGTTTTGAGGCTCAAATAAGATAATGCAGTTAAAAAAAGAGAGAGGGAGGGTCATGATAAATAAATGTTACCTGTACCTCTCATTTTCCTCTTGAGCCCTACTGTTATTGTTAATACTTGTGTATCAATTGTTCCTTGGCAAGGCATTGTGGCAGGGTTTGGAGGTCTAGGCAGAAGTTGTCCATCAAACTTGTGCAGCTATGGCCTACTCGCTGGAGGAAGGTGCTTAAGTTGGTTCTTGTCACAAGACCTTTCTTGAAAATGTTGACATGTGTTAACAGGATTAGAGGCTGGAGCAAAATGAAATTGTCCTGGAGGAAGTTATTTCTTAATGGGGTGGGGAGTGTAATTTATCATAAAGTCAGCAAGAGAATGCATTTTAGATGAGGTAGAGGATGGTGTTAATACATGCTTCGGGAGGTGTTGAAGTAAGGAGTGAAAATTATGCTGAATAAATTTGACTTGATCTAAAAAATATGGTCCACAAGTTATAACAGAAATGGTTAAGAAATATGAGTCCAAAGGAATTATAATTAGGAAACTGCTCATGTATGAAAAATACATGTATTTAAAAAATATAAATCAAGCAAATTGTGTGCACATACACACACGGTTCATGGCTAATTTTGTAAATGTACAAAGACGGCTTACAAATCAGTAAAATTAGGCCCTGGCTGAGTAGCTCGGGCGGTTACAGCTGCAAGGTCCCAATACAGCAAGGCTGCAGGTTTGATCCCTGGTCAGGGCACATACAAGAATAAACTGATGAATGATAAATCAGTGGAACAAATCAGTGCTCCTTTCTCTCTCTCCCCCTTCTCCCTTCCTTCCTCCCTCTCTCTAAAAATCAATAGTAAAGAAAAAAAATCAGTAAAATTATGAATAACTCAGTAGAAAAATGGACAAAGGACTTGGACACATTCAGGAAAAAAGATTTAATAGAGCCAACACAAGTGGAAAGATGTTCACCACCATTTATGATTAGAAAATGAAAATTAAAATAAGATACCATTCTGGGAAAAACAAAAGAGACTGATATAAAACCAGTATTGGTGAGTGTGTGAGGTAACTAACTGGTATGCTTATATGCATTTGGTATAAACTAGTATAACTTTTATGGAGGAATAATGAATAGGATCTTTTGAAATAAAAAGTACATACACTCTTTTTAGCACTTTTCACTGCTAAAAGTTGTCTCAGAAATACACAATCATAACACAAAGTTCTCTATACAAGGATGTTCTCCAAGAATTGTGTGCAGTAGCCATAAACAGTCCTTCAGTGAAGAACTGCTCCAATGGTGGCAGCCCATGCATGAAAAATGGGCTGGGTCTGCAGGGACACATTTTGTTTTGTGAACAAAATGTTGTTCACAGCATCTTCTTGAACTAAAAAGGCAAGCCGAAGAACCCCATCTTTAGCATGCCTGCTCACGTGAAGAAGATATAAATAAGTATAAATGTGTAGAAATACTCTGGAAGGAAACAAGGAAATTTCTGTGGTTGTTACCTCTGGGAATGTAGGCAGAGAAATTGTTTGCCATTCACTGAATTCCTTTCTGGACCATTTGAAAACTACCATGAATAGGTATTAGTTCTGTAATTTTAAAAAAGAAATAAAAAGAAATAAAACTTCAGTTAAACATATCAAAAGAGCAAATGAGAGCCATTGCAATATGTCTGAAAATAGTTTTTAGAAACTAAGTTGCTGTCTTAGAAGATAAACTTTCCTTTGCAAATTTCACATCATTAGTTGATTCCTCCATGTGAAGAAGGAAATCCTCCATGGTTTTATTTAATAGTAAGTAGTGCTTACTTTATGCCAGGTACTAGTTTAAGTATTTTAACCATGTAATAACATTAGACATGGGGCGGTTTTCATTACAATATTATTATCCTCACATTGTAGGTTAGGAAAACAAGGCCTATAGGGGTTCAGTTACTTAACCAAGCTCACCAGCTATAAAACTCTAGAGCTGAGATCCAGGATGTCTGGCTGCAGGATGCTTTAACCACTATGCTTGCTGCCTTTTGAAGTCTTTAGAGGTTTTGAGTTCCATGGGTGAGCTGATTATATGACCTGCTGAAAGGGACACAGGCCATGTCCTCTCAACTCCCCCTGGGATACCCCAGGCCAAGCCTATCCACTGATCCTTTGGAGGATTTAATAGAAAAACAAGACACTGCAAGAGAACATGCTTATGGCTTACTGGATGTGGAGTAACAGTGGGGCCTTTTAACAACTCTCAACAACAGTACTTCAACACAGCATATCTTTGTACAAATCTTCTTACTGTTAATTGGAGTCTTCCAAGATGAAAGGGACGATTTAAGCCAGCTCTTAGGGAAAATGTGGCTGATTCACCAGCCAGGGGAAATTGAGGTTAAGCCAAGGACTGCTGTGGGTATTGAAGGCTGAACTGATTGGTTGAATTCCAATGTTTTTGAAGCTTGTCAAAGTAAGGATGATTTTTTAGCTGCAGAAACATGAGGAGACATGCCTTATCATCCAAGCTTATTGAATGTGAATGTGTTTCCTGTTTAGCATTTTCCTCAAGGTTATGTTAAGCTAGATCAGGGTTACTTTTTGTAATCCTAGAAGTGGAGTGATTGATGGCACTCTTGTTGATAGGTAAATAGGACACTGAGATTAACTAGTGGTCTCTTCTCTTATGCCTTTTCACCCTTCATTCTAACAGGTTAATGTTGAAACTTTCTCCACATGCAAACAGGTTCTCCAGGTGTGCAGGTAGCTCCCAGCAGGTAAGCTTAGGAAGGACAATTGGTCATTGAACAGAACTGCCTGAGGCATTCTTGGTGGTTCCATCATTTCTTGGTGGTTCTGAGAAAGGATGCACGATTCTTTGTAAGGAATAAATTGCTTATCCTTCCTGTGGTCCCTCAGGTATTGTGGATGGGTGGTGCCTGGGGAGGGATACGACATCCTACAGGGCTGCCATGGGCAGTAGACTGTCCAGTAGAAGAATAAAACACGTGTCAATGTTCAAGGCAAGAATTCTTTGTGTCTGGTTAGTGAAGAGGATGGGTAATCCTATAGAGATCCAAGTTTTCAGTTTGGAAAGAACCTCAGGGAATTCAGACTTCTGGTGGCTTTATTAGCTGACTACCTAAACAGGGAGACACACGCTATTACATTAGGTGGTGCGAAGCTGTGTGAAGACCCACAGTAGCAGAGCCAAAGCAAAGTACTCAGACCTAAAGGTTCTTTTTGGTGAGGGAGTAGTAGTCTGAGTTCATTGCTGATGAAACATGATTTGGTTGAGCCATATCTTGACCTTGATCTACAGCTGTGATATTCAATACAGCAGCCATTGCCCACATGTGGCTAAATTTAAATGAATTAAAGTGAAATTTAAAAAATCAGCTTCTCAATCACCCAGGTCCCATTTCAAGTGTTCAAGACTAGTCTTGCGTTGTCTATGCAGGACAATGAAAATTCTGGAACATTCCCATTATTGTAGAATGTTTTACTGAGTAGCACTGATCTAGATACAGTGGTGTCCAACCTATTGGCGTCTCTGAGCCACACTGGGGGAAGAGTTGCCTTGGGCCACACATTTAATGCACTGTGACAAGTAATCACACACACACAAATCTCCTAATGTTTTAAGTAAATTTACGATTCTGTGTTGGGCTGCATTCACAACCATCGTGAGACGCATGTGGCCTGCAGGACGCAGGTTGGACACTCCTGATTCTAGAAGATAAACAATAGGTCACCAAAGATATTCTATCAAGAAACACCATTCTGATGGATTGACTGACCACCCTAGAGAGGCCCTATCCAGTTTTTATTTTCAACCATGAGAGATTTGAAATAGAAGGAAAGACAGTAAGAAGTCGGATTTTGGTGTGAAGCCACCATCTGTTACAGGATCACTATGGTTAATGGTCACAAGCAAGGAGGTGGGAGCAGCGGGGTGAGGGCTGTGAGGTTAGGGCTTCCCCTGAATGGGCTGTGGCCTGATTAGGCAGAAGGAAGTGGTTGAAGGTACTTCTGATACTTGCACAAAGGGTGAGTATGACCAACTTTGTTTCTGAAACTTCCTTTGGCTTCTGACCTCCCTACCTTTCTTTACCTGATTAGATTGGTAAAAATTGGTTAGACATCTTAAGAATATGAATCTTAGTCTCTCTTTCTGGTTTAAGAGATTTTCAGTGCTTTCCTCAACAGAAGAGTAGTTGTCTGATTAGTTCTATTTCACATACCTCTACAACACTAAAAGGAAGTAAGGCAAAGGAAATCAAATGAACAGCAACAACACTTCTCACACTAGTTTGGGGTGTCCCTGGGGGCCTGTAGCACGGGAACGTATCTGTCATTTTCAACAGTCTGGTGAGACATCTGACTGCCCCTCCCACCCATGTCCTTTCATGTTGACTCACAAACTGAAGGAGTGAGCAGTGAAGAGTGCTCAAGGTCTTCATCTTCAGGGGGAGGGGACCGGATGCCAAAGAAAACAGAGGATAAAGTGTCCGTTGAATTTAGAAAGTAGGTGGAAAGAGAAATGTTCAAGGGAGAAGGTCAGTATTCAAAGAATAGCTAGGACTAAGAACAGGGAAACTAGTAGACTTTGAGCCAAGAGCTGTCCCTAGTAACTGTGACAGAAGCAGTGTTCGTGAAGTTCGAGAAGAGGAGGGTCACTACTGGGAATGAAGAGGGCATTTCTAGGGTGATGATAAAAATAAAAGCATGAGCACTGGACCTTACTCAGTCTTGGATATTTCATTATCCTCTCACCCAAGTAAAAACTCTAACATCCAATAAGTGCCTGTTGAATGAAACCCTCGGGAAAGAAAATCACACTGAATGCATAAATTCCTTTATTGAAAATATTGGGCTAGCACTGCATTACATATATTCGATATCCATAAATGAAGGGCCACACATTTCTGATTGGACAATACTGTTTTAAATAGAGAACACAGCATCTGGATATGCTCTCACAAGTACATATAATATCATGGACTAAACTAGGTAAGAGTGAATTATATGCAAATGACTGTTTGCTAATAGCGTATGGTTGCAAACGGCATACCTGGTAAACGTGGTCATCACGAGACGTCCCTGGTATCTCACACCAACACATCATTTAAGGAGCACATGAAAGTTAAACTGCCAGTATGTTGTTTATCAAGAATTCTCAACAGAAAAACTCAGGGGAAAGCACACCCAGGCTACAGACTTGAGCCTTCACAGCATTCATTGCAACTTACGTGGAATGTACGTGGAGTTAAGTAGCTGTGGATCTGACCAGAGGCCCCTTGGCACCGTGTCTGTTGTCCTCTATAAACAGTCTAAAGGAAGGGAATAATCTCCAGGGAATATTCTGTCAGCTTAAGGCTTACATTCTACCAACTGTATTATTATTATTTTCTAAATGCAATTATATAAATGCTACTTTTGTTATTAATTCTTTTCTTTCCAAAATCACTGGGGATATAATTTATGACAGACCACTTCTCAGCTTTGGCTATTATATGAAATTTTTTTCCATTAGCAGTCTTTGGCTTTCATAATACTCTGGCAATCAATAATATTGGTCAGCTTTTCAATAAGGTTTTATTATTATATTTAATAAAAGTATTTTATGATGTGAAAATGGGTTGATGTTGAAAAATAGGTTTTATTTTTTGTTCCAATTTTGGTATGAATGCATTTCTTTGCATTGTTCTTTTTTTCTCAAATAAAAGAGAAAACCAAGGTGGTTGGGCTAATTTGATACTTGTCCTTTGATACAAAACAGTCCTTTTAAAAACAGAGGCCTGTTTGTTAGTGTAAAAACTTGGGAAAAATTATGCAAAACACTATGAAAATAAAGTTCTTATTACTAACAAATGATTTTATAAGAAGCAAAACATTTTCTTTTTAAAAGCAGAGTCTGTTCTAGTCTAGGTTCATAAAGGTATCCATCTACTTTTGTAAATATCAAATTTTAACTGAGAAATGGCTTTTTCTTCTTTATACAACTATGTTCAGAATAAGTAACTAAAAATGTACCTTTTCAATGACTAAACTGAGAGCTCGCCTACAACAGTCAAATCAATGAACATTGGTAATGAGTTTTTTAAAATTCACAATTAAGCATATATATATATATATATATATATATATATATATATGCTGTTCAAGATCTATCACCCTAAACAATCAGGGCAAAAAAAAAGCTCAATATAAAACTATATAAATCAAATGGAATTGTTGCCAAACATAGCACATTTCTTTTTTTTTTCAAGATTTGACACATTAATAGAAAAAAAAACCGGCAACACATTTCAAACAATATCCTAGAAATAATAAATAAAACTTTTTAAAAAATCCTATACATACCCTTTTCAGTGCTGTGCACCTTCAATTTTTCTAAACAAGACTAACCTTTCCCATGGCAAACGATAGTATGCTGTACATTTTGGTAATGAAAATTATGTTGATAAATACACAAGGCATGTATATATTTCCACAGTATCTTTTTTTTCACAGTTACCAAAAATAAAAGTTGCATTCAACTCATACATCATAAATACTCTGATTCCTCACTGCGTGGACTTGAAGAAAGCAGGAGCACAAAGTCTTCCAGCAGCCTGGATGCCTGGCCGCTCCGGGCGGCGGCAGCCCTCCGCACGTGCCCTGCAGGCCCTCTGCAATGTGGTCGTGCTCCGCGGTGACGGCAGGAAGGAAGCATCATGGGGGCATGAGGCAGTCTAAGCAGGCGCTTGTCTTCCAGCCAGCTTTAGGGGAGCTGAGCAAACCCAATCTTTTCAATGTTGTATTTTAAGGCAGCCTGAGTTTCACTCAAATGTCCATACCTCAAGGTCCTGAACTATGAAGTCTTCCTTTTTGGAAAGAATATCGTTATTGAAAGTGCTGCAGGAATTACTTCGTCCGTGGTATAAGTCAGCATCTAGCCATAAACCAAATCGTCCCCTGAAGAGGTTAAAAGAAAAGTGAAAACATTTCAATCTTACGTGGCACACTTTCTGTCCTCCCTTACGGCGGTCTTCTTTCCATTATGGTACAGACAGAAACCCTAAACTGCTTGTAAAACAAAGGGGGCATTTCTTTTACTTCATTTAAATGAGCTGTCTTTCCTAAAAGACAAGTGGTAGTAGTCCTTCATTGAGACACATAAATAAATCATTTTATCTCTGACTCTTAGTGCCATATGTTAGGCCACTTTCCTAATTAATATACGTGCATGGACTTGCTAAAATCACCTGACACCAAAGTTTTGGTTATCTGAATCAAAACAGACCCACTCAGGTCTGGTGGTAAATTAATAACAACCACAACAACTTTAACAAACTCTTACCCTCCACCACCAAGTTCTAGAGAAGTTATGTCTCCATTGATAAAGTATGAGTTTTCTCCACTCCACTTGAAGACCTTAGGGTAGAAACACAAGACAGTACAGACCTTTTAATCTGGAGAAGGGGCAAAAACGGAACGTTAGAATAGTCCCTCTGTAACTACCTGCTGCGGGATGTGCTCTCCCGAGGGTTAAGAAGTCAGTAAGACCTCTCGGGCCCATGTGACTCTGACTCACAATCCCTCCCTGGACCCCAGAACACGCAGAAGGGTGGTCCTGAGGCCTGCGAAGGCCCGGGCCGAGTGTGTCAGGGCAGCTGCTGCTCTGACAACAGCTCCCCACCTCCTGCCTACCCCTCACCCCCACCCTGTGACAGGGGAAATCAGGTATCTCTCCCATCCAGGTACCTTGAAATTGGGGCTAAACGTGTACAGAAAAGTTTCGCCTGTGCCATAATAGTGGTCACTGAATTTGAAAGGGTGGGTGGCATACGCTCCGAAAATCTGTGAAAAGAAAACAGATACATTAGCTGCTTTCAAACCTAAACCTCCCAAAGAAAGACTTTCTTCAATATTTTAACACAATCCTGAGACTGCATTATACCTCTTTCAGCAAAGTTCATTACCAAGTCAGAGCTCATAAATAACAAAGAGCGCCAGCAAAGAGATACATGGCCCCATACATCCCCAATGTCCCTGGCTCTAACTGAAATCCAAGTAGCTTGGAGATCTTATTTGTCAAAGGCCAACAATTGGTTCAATTTTAAAAGACTCCCAAAGTCCACTAGGGAGACGAATTTCCTGCAGTGACTACAGACGACATTGGGAACATAAAACAACAAGAAGCATCCTGCACACAGAAACGAGTGGCTGAGAGAACAAAGTCATGCATCGTCTGTGTTTTGTAAGTGGAATTGTAGCCAGACATTTCCCCAGAAAAAATGCATTTTTGTCTCTTTTATTTTTAAAAGTGATTTCTCAATAGGCTTATTAAAACTGTGTCCATAATATGACTGATCTAATATATCTTGTTCAAATTGGGTTTTAAGAAAAAAACAATAACAATTCCATGTACTATGGACTCTAAAGGTGACTTAGATGTATTGGAATCAATGATTCTTCCATTTTTTCCTGTTGAGGGCTGGAAGAAGCAGCATTTTCAGAATGTGCACATTTGCTGCCTCAGCTTCCTGTATTTCTGCTCAGACTCTGGTCAGTACTTGCCAAGTGAGGGTTGTCAAGAGTGAGGACACAGAGTCTGAAAATATCCGTAGGTAATTCTGATACACCAGAGATTCCAAATTCCTATTGAGAAGCACTGATTTAAATGGAGGTTGACTGAAAAACATTAGTTTTCAAAATTATTTTAACTGAATTACAGTCATAGCCAAACCTCTCCTTTACCAGTTTGGCTCAATACCTGGCTCCTTAAAATACTAAAAATTAGGTAGAGTAAAGTCTGGAAACCCTTTCTAACCAGTGTTCTTCCGACTTCCTGCCACCAATCCTTTCCATAGAGCTGCTAAGAATAAACAAAAACAAAAACACTAAAAATCAATTTCCCTTCTTCTAGTTATCTTTCAGTGAAAGAACTAAAATACTGTTGAGATAGGCATCTATTTTTTTAAGCACCTGGTAAAATACAACAAGAAGGGTAATGACCATACACAGAAGAAAGTGGGTTCCCTTCTAACCACTGAATAGGAAAAGCCATGCTTACTCTTTTACCCTCACAGCAGTCTAAATAATTATATTTCTTTGCAAAATTTTCTTAGCAATCATGGAAATCTGTTTAAGGACTGGGGATTGGATAATACTAGAGAATTACTGTTAATTTTGTTAGGTTTATAGCATTGTGGTTATGTAAGAGATCATCCATTTAAATTTTTTCCTATCAACTTTTTCAAAAGCAATTGTGTAAAAAATAGTATGCCTACAATAATATTGCTGGGTTTATAACATATAAACATTTAATATATTTGGCAATGACAGAACAAAGGAATCCATGAGGATAAATGAAGACAACCAGAAGTGATAAAGTAAAGTTAGTATAAAAGAAAAACCCTATAAATGCATATTTGCTCTCCTTTCTTCTTTCAGCTTCTTTACTTAGTAGATAAAAAAATTATATAAAGTAGTAATCGCAACAATTTATTGGATTTATATCAATGTAATATCTGTAACAGATTACCACAAAAAGTAGAATGATATGTAGTAGAACAGCATAAAATATTTCTATACCTCACTGGAATTAAGTTAGTATACATCAGACTATTAATTGCATGATAATGGCTCTGCTGTTTCCCACAATGCCTTGTGATACAAATATTCCAGCCTGACTTGATGAAACGCAGGCCCCTTTGCAGGCATAGTTCCTTTGGTCAGTCTACGCTGACTGCAGGAAGGCTCTCCTTGGTTGTCTCTTTCCCTGCTTCTCATTGGTACACTAGGTGGTCCACAGCTGAGCTTGTTGCCTTTATGGAGCCACCGGGCTCCTCATAATTGGTCTGGCACTGTTTCCAGAGGCCCTTTGGCCTGAACTCCCTCATACTCTTCTACATAAAGTCAGTTCCTTTGAACAGGGCTTCAGAGCTCTGCATTTCATGGTCTGTGTCTTCCCCTGGAGCTAGGAGCTAGGAGCTAGGAGCTAGGGATTCTGCTCTGGAGCTTGGGGTGGGACAGTGGCTTCTTTCTCTCAGACAAATAATCTTGTTTTATGAGCAGGGTGCTGGGCAGGGTAGAGGCTGGTCCTGGCTCACCTCACCTCACGTGGAACTCTGCCCTACAGGCTGGGACAAGGGCAGCAGAGGCCCCTGTATTCTCAGCCTGCCATGACTAATATATAGCATCTGCCCTGTAAGGGTGGGGTGCAGGAAGAGAGCCCTTCGCCTCTAGACCACACCTGCATGGAATTTAGCTTCTGAAACAGTGGTCTCAGGCAGGCATGAGAAGTGCTGGGGGCCTTGCCTGGTCCTGGGGCAGAGGGAGCCCCATCTCCAGGTCAGCACAGACCCAGAGTGAAGCATCTGTCAGTCTGAAATGGGGGTTGAGTGGAGGGCACAGGCTGTGCTTCAAGTGCCACAGAATCTCACTGTTATTACCGAGATTTATTTTATTTTCTTGAATAAATGTTTCTTCACTTGTATGCCTGTAGGACAGTTTCCAGAGCCTTCAATTGTTATTTTTGTAATTCCCACCAGCATGGTTTTTTTCACTGGGGACTGAATTGGCAGAGTTCCTTACTGCTGCCATTTTGTGTATGTGGCATTTTTATATTAAAATTTTATATCATTCATTTCCAGATAAATTCATAAGTTTTATTCTACCATCTTCTCGAACACAGCAAGACCACATTCATGCCTTGGGGGTGGATGGGATGGGGTAAGAGAGAGTTCAGAGGTTTTCAAACAAGGCAAGCCACCCGAAGGCACCAGGTTCGGTGACCCACCCCTGACGCTGCCAGTACAGGCCTCCTTTCCTATCTGCGGGCAGGCACGGGGGACCCTGTGCTTCACCAGTGCCTGCTCTGTGCAGCCAGCACTTTCCCCAATGAGTCTGTGACCCTACGGTGAGGGTTTGTGCATGTGGTCTAACACCACCTAGCCTTCACTTACCAAAAATATCACACCCAGCTTCTCAAACATCCCACTAAACCCCTAAGTAATTCAACTTTAAACCTCTGTTATTATGATTTGTAATTTTTAAGTTGACTCTACCCAGTATTCAGCTGGATCATGATTAAATGTCATCCATCAAGAAATAATATTAGTAACAATAACAGCTAAACTACTCGGCACAACTCTTAAGCTACAATAAATCCCAGGAAAAAACATGGTTGAGGAAGATGCCTCAGTACCCCATTTCTCTGCTAATTTTTCCAAAGGCAACTTTTGACAGCAAAGAACTATTTCCCCTAAAATGACCCCAATTACATGGCTGCACAGAAAGCTTCTCAATACTTAATAGTGCCCCACATGTAACAGGCATTCATTATACATTTTATGAATGAATGTCTGTTGAGTAAAAGCTGCTTCAATACCAGAAAGAGGAAAGAATGGCATCCACAGCTTGAAAATGTAAAGGAATTTCTTCTTGATATAACACAGGCAAAACAGAAATAAAGAAAGATGCCTTTCTTTTGTGAAGCAGAGGCCTGGCTGGGTGGTATATGAAAGGATCCAGGGAAGAACCTACTTGCACGCCAAGCTGCCTGAGGTGGGAAGTGCTAGTGTCAGGTAGATGGGGGAAATACCTCGGTTTCACCAGTGTCTGCAAGACCGACTGCAACAGAGGGGAAAGTGCATGAGCCCTGGTACAGAGCACTCTCCCTGCTGTTCCATAACAGCCGGGCCCTTCCATGCCCTTGACTGAGTCTCCATCTCAGCAACCATGCAGGCAAGGCTTGCAGGCCCTGCTCCAGCTCCCTGGAAAGAGTTCTGGTGTGGCATTGGCATTTCTTTCTACAATCAGCTCCATATCTGGACTTGACTTTTCTCCAACTTCTCCAGCTTTAGGTTATAGAATGTCATTATAGCTTTCTACTTCATGGTGAGTACAACAAAAAAGTCCCCTAAAATGTGACTCTATTTGAAAATATGCTCCATATTCCTTTTTAGAGATGCAATCTGAAGTGTGACAGTAATTGGGATTTACTTCAAAACACTTTAGCAAAGAAAAACCAACACAGAAAAGGCAGATGAAGCTTATGGGGCAAAATCCTGCTAAGTTGTGGAGTTTGTTGCACTTGCCTCTCTACTGTTGTGTACATTTGCGAAGCTGCATAAAGCCTTCATTTAAAAAAAATGTTTTCTAAGGGAAGAACAAGCCTCACCTGATTATCCATGTCTTTGACGACCAATAGGACGGGGCTATCTAGTGATGCTGATTTCCGATAGAGAGTTTTCAAGCTGGTCCCGTGCTCCAATGTGCTATATGCCAGTCTCCATGGATACCCTTGCACCCTTGCTGGAAGGCGTCGGGCCAGCTGTGAATCCAAAGATGGGCATGAATACAAACAGTTCACTCACAAGTCACTCATGAACACGCAGCATAACGTATGTGCCTATGGATCAAACTTAAAACTACACGAATTTACACATCATTCCCCTTTACTCTGGCAAATTTTTGCCACTCTAAACCAAGAAAGAGAAGGAAAATCATTCCTCGGTGGGGTTTACCTTAGTGGAATGCTGCCTAGAGCATGCTTTTACCTCGGGGGCCTGACTGTGGGCTCCCTGTGCCATTAGGCACTGGGAGATACAGCACCTAGCCTGATAAAGAAGTATGAGTTAAAGGCAGATTCTCTCTGTGTTACACTTCAACCTGGCTCACACCAAATAGTGCATGTTTCTTCAGTTGTTCTTTCTAAACCCCCAAAGGCTTAGAGCTACTACTGACAGCTGCAGCTTCCCACAGAAGTGACAACGACACACAGTGTTTGACGCAAGTAGTCGGATGCAGCCTGTCCACACCGCACCTGGATCTTTCACTGCATTAATATTTAGCTTAGCCCTGGCTGGTGTGGCTAGTGGACTGAGTGCCGGTCTGTGAACCAAAGAGCCGACAGTTCATTTCCCAGTCAGGGCACATGCCTGGGTTGTGGGCCGGGTCCCCAGTAGGGGGCGTGTGAGAGGCAACCACACAATGATGTTTCTCTCCCTTTTTCTCCCTCCTTTCCCTTCTCTCTAAAAACAAAATCTTTAAAAAAATATTTAGCTTAAATTTGACTGTTATAAATACCAATAATGCATCTCTCCAAAAATACTAACAAAGGAGGCTATGAAGTACTGAAGTCTTCAGAATGCTGAATATCAGCTCTAGTGTTAGACTAAACCCCATTTCTGCAACTGCTTGGTCAAATCTCTTGGCTTTCCTGGGCCTTTTTTGGCTCACTTGGGAACTGAGGGAGTTGAACTTGATGATTCATTAATTAAGGTCACTGAAATGCAGGTCTAAGCTGGCTGCAGGGGGAAGTAGAAGAGATTCCTGACTGAAGGTCAAATGTGAGCACGTTTTATATTTCATAAAACAGAAGTAACACATTTTCAGAAAATATAAAGGACACAAGGGAAACTACAGAAAAAGGAAAATCCTACTGGTTGGTAGTTTTGATAAAGCAAACACGGTGTATTTGCCATATGATTTTTATTGAGCCTAGTAAACGAAAAACACTGGAACTGGGCAGCAGTCACTGGGGTAAATCTGGATCCTAAGTGCAGCAGGACTATGGTAGGACCCTTGACAAATTGTTTTGAAAACCAGAAATGGCTTTTCCTTCAGGCCTGGGGGGCGGACATCCTGTCTGGCCGAGCGCTCGCACTCCCGAGAAGGCAGCAGGGAGCGCCGCCATACCTCTCGGGAGCCGAGAAAGGGCCCCTGGCCGTGGTTAGGCTGTGGGTGACCTTCCTTTGAAACCTGGCTCATCCTTCACCTGGACTGAAGTGAGCAAATGTGGTCAGGGTTGGGAAGTGCTTTTCAAGGCTGGAAGACCCCCACCCTGAGTCCCCGGGGAGGACCACCTGCTCGATGTGCATGTTCTCCAGGAGCGCGCTGTGGGGCTGCAGGGTCGGCAGGGCTGCCTCATCATCGTCCTCATAGTAGCTGCACGTGCTCTTCCTGCGCTTTGCCTCCTCAACGGTGATGATCTGAAACGCAGAAAACGAATAAGCCAAAACCGGCCCCACGATGCATCTGCTTTTCCCGCAACCCGTGGCGTTTAGCACCAGGACATAAACTGAACTGGGACTTTGGGAAATGGCTAGTTTTTCAATTTCAGAACCAATGCAGAATTTAATGCGTAACAGCTAAGGCACTTACTACGTAAGTGCCTTAAATTAAAGTCGAAAGTTTTCCCCTTTACTATTGCTGTCGACTGCTCAGTCCTAGAGCAAGAATTGTGTACAACTCCACAAGCCACTTAGACCCTTGAAATGCCCTGTTCTCCTGTAGCGTGCATCTGACTCTAAATTGTTAAGGGCCTAATCAGAGATCATTCTATGAGTAAGTCTTCTATAAATAGGGATATTGGAAAGATAAGGTAGTTTTTTTTAATACTCAATGTTTTCTCTTAAGATTGTGCACATAGCAACCAACCCTGATAGAGATGACGGATGGTAACAGCTACCAGAGCAACAACCCAAAGAAACACAAATGCAGTCTACATTACAGTTGGGTTATGATTCTTCAGTTCAGAAACTACCAAAGTGGACTTTCCTTCAAAACTGAGAAATATGATGTTGTACACAACATTCATTATTTCATTGTAATTAAGCTTACAAACTACCAAAGTAAATTTCCCTTTAAGAGTCCATTTGTTTGCCCCTCCTAACATGCGGATAAATCACGGAATTATTTTGAAATTGAAGATGTACATAAAGAGACTAATTCACTAAGATGCCTGGGTACCAGTGACTTTTGCATTATAGAGAAAAACATTTAAGTTCTATCTAGTAAAAGTTGTCAGATAATGCACTACTCCATTCCCAAATGCATGGTCATCGATACAAAGCACCTGCTGTGTCGCCTGTGCCAGATTTACAGGGAGGAAAATTAGCTTATACATTTTACCATCTTCTCCAGGGGAAATTCTGAAAGAAAACACTGTCAAAGAATCACATATCCAGCATTTTTGATGTATTAAATAAAGCATATTTATCTAATTTTTTTGTGTGCGAACTCTACATTGAACAGTGGTTCAAAATGAGCTGTGGAAAGAAAAAAAATCAAGTATGGATTTTTTGACTCCAAAGATGGGGGCACACCACACCATACCCATCTTCAAACAAACAGAATACCTGCTCTAGTTGAAATGCCAGCACAATCTTTTCTAATTAACACAACAGTTCAAAGCATACTGAGTGGCAGATCTCTGAGGATTCAGGGGCACCTAATTAGTAATCAGGGACCCCAACATACCTTCACATAAGGCTCTTGGTTAGGTCTGGCACAATAGAAAATCTGAATGTCCAAGGGCAATCTTCGGACTCGCATGGTGATCCGGTGAGAACTGCCTGCTGGCTTTCTAATGAGGAAGAGGTTTTTTCTCTCTCTGCCTCCACACACTGTTACTTGTAACCACGCTGCGCTACAACTGTTTCTGCAGTGTCTGGTTTCCTGCATGGTTGAGTTTCTGTTTCCCTTAGGAGAAGGTTCAACATTTCTACAGGAACACACCCAAATTAGGATTTAGAGCAAACACAAACTTCCTGCCAGGCAGAGCTGTGAGGCTGTAAAATGACACTTCACCTTTGAAACGGTGGTTTCCTAACAGTACAACAAATCCCATTGTTTTTTCTTTCCCCCTTTTCTTCTTAACTGTTCTCTGGCTAAGCTGGCTTTTCTAACTTTGACTTTCCAGTGTTTTTTTTTCGGCACCTTCTCCGAAGCTAAACCTCCATTTTAAATTTTACATAATTTCCCTGACATCAGTTTGAATCTCGTGGGAAGGGTGAAAAGGAGACTTTACCCGAGGTTCACTGTACTTAGAACAATGGCATTTCACTTCAATATCATGTCATGTTCCTTAAGTGGGAGCAACTGAAAAGAATGTGGAAACATCTGGTTTATATGAGGCAGGGAAAATTTCATTTTAGATTCAGTTTTTCAAAACAGCTGGCAAAGTAAAAAAAAAAAAGAATGGTAACCCTTTATACTTTTTAGGATATTAATCTTTTAAAAATTTTCATTAACTTTATTGGGGTGACACCAGTTAATAAAATTCCATAGGTTTCAAGTGTACAGTTCAGTCATGCATCATCTGTACATGGCATTCTGTGTTCCCCAGAAATTCAGGACATTAATCTTAAGGCTGAGAAGCATGACGAGCCAGGCTCTGCTCCCCAGATCCAATGTCGGGGGATGGAAAGAAATGCAGAACACTGTGGATCAATTTTCCGTGATCTTTCTGTGACTTTTCCAGATGCCCAACGGCCTTTGGTCCTGCTGAGGAGACGGGAGTGCTCTGGCACAGCCCATCCTGGGGGGAACCTGGAGGGCTCGGGCAGATACCCTGCGGCCAGTCCCAGGCCGGCCAGAGCTCATCCTCAGCGCCAGAGCCTAACCATAACCTGGGGGAGAACCACTGGCATTTTGTGCAGGTGAGATGGCATTCCTTTAAGTACCTGGCACTTCATGATGGCGAACGCTTTTCTTATTGTTGACACTATTACAGATGTCCCCAACTCCCCCCTCCCCCTGCCTTCCTCCGAGTAGCAGCAGCGCCCTGCCCACGGCTTTCACCACATTGTTGCCTGTGTCCCTGGGCCATGCATCATGCACACAAATTCTGGCTGACTTCTTCCAGTCCCCCACCTGCTTGGAGATCTGTCCATCGGTTCCATGTGTCCATGTCTCTGGTTTTATTTTGTTTGTGAGTTTATTTTGTTCATTAGTTTCCACATACAAGTGAGATCATATGGCATCTGCCTTTCTCTGACTGGCTTTTTGCTTAAAAAGATGTGGTACATTTACACAATGGAACACTATGAGGCTATAAAAAAAAAGGAACTATTACCCTTTGCAACAGCACGGATGGATCTGGAGTCTATTAGGCTACGCCAAAGAAGGGAGCTCACATTTACTGTGAGCTTGCTATATGATGGTGGTGTCAGGTGCTTTGACAGACACAGGGACACAAAACAGTCTGTAGTTTGGGAGGGGGGGTGAGGAGCCAGTAGAGAGACATTTATAAACAAATGAATGTCATTCCACGTGATACAAATGCTAATAGCAGCTCAAAGGAAGGTGGGGACACCTAGAGAGTTCCGAGATTGCTTACTCAGTTTGAGAGCAATGGATGGGGTAGGGGAGGTGTCCAGGTAAAGGGAAGAGCAGGAACACACAGCTGTGTTCTTTGTTCATTGTGGCTTGAGAATAGAGAGCAAGGGAAGTAGAGGGGAGGCTAGGGAGGGAGAAGAAGTGGAGAAAATAAAAAATTGTGGTGCCGTGAAGGGGCTTAGAACTTATAGGACAATATTTCTGAAACCTGTCTGTTCTTCAAAATCATCTAAGAGCTTTTAAAAATACAGATTCCAACATTCCTCCCCTGGACCCACTGAATTAATGTCCCTAGTGGTGAGGCGCTAGGATTCAGTTAAAAAAATAATAATTTGCCAAGTGGTGGCTCGGATGATTGGCCAGGTGGGTAATGATGGCTATGGGCAACGGAGTGCCAGTGCGTGTCTAAGCATAGACCGCACCTGTGATCGCCTGCTTGAGCACTTATTTATAAACAGACAGCACAGAACAGATGCAAGATTTTTAAACGTGACGAAGCAAACATCACAGATCATTAAACAGTGCTGGAAAAACTGGCAGATAAAATATTACCTATCATATATCAGCCAGTCAATTGTAGAATGAGGGGAGTTTAAATTGGTTGCATGGGGCCAACTACATATAAAAGCACTATAATCAAAAACCATTAACAAAAACATAAATAAAATTAAGAGAAGATAACAAACTTGGAAAATATCTGTCAAAAATGTAGGATACAAAGAATTCACATCTTTAATCCTAAGGAGCTCAAACAGCATGATGGAATTATTAAGATTCTTTTAGGAAAATGGGCAAAGAAAATGAGTGGGCATCACAACAACAACAAAACAAACAGGTTATACATGATAAGATATGATTGCACATACAAATATTCACTCTATCCTCAATCCCAATCAAGGAAACAAAAATTAAAACGTATTGTTTCTCAACTTACAAATGAGCAAAAACCTTTACAAAGGCGCCATGGTAACATTTTCTGCTGGCAGGAACACAGGGGGGTTCCCTCCCATTGCTGACAAGTGGGCATTACATACGAACTTAGCACCCTTACACCAAGTAATTTCATTTCCCAGAAATTACAAAATGCAGATTACCTCATCCTTGTGAAAACCCTGAACCGAAACAAAGATTCCTGACAGTCTGGAATCGTTAAATAAATCTTGACTGAGATACAATATTATGCAAGCATTAAAAATGCAGCTTAAAATCTTTAATATGATAATTATCACAATATCTCAGGTGAGAAAAACCAGATACAAAACTATATACAGCTTGATCCCATTTTGTAAAAAAAAAAAAAAATGAAAAGCAAGACAACTCCAATCTCATCCCCCAGAAACACCCTAAAATCAAATGAAAAAAGGAGCGGAAGGAAATGTACAAAAGTGTCAGGTGTGTAGACATTATTTTTGAATTTTCTGCACCTTTTTGTTTCATAATTTCATAAAATAAGCAGGTATTGTTTTGATGAAATTAGGAAATCAGGCTTATTTAAAGGGCTTGCATATGGGAGGGTGAGCCAGCGGGTGGGTTGGGACTGGAGCTGCCTTTGGGAGTCTCAGGGGAGGGCACAGACAGGCTGACCGGGCAGTGGTGGTGGAGCGGGGGTGAGGCCCCTGCACATTTAAGAACAGAATCCATAAGATTCAGCCTACAGATGAATGACTAGGTACGGAGATGAAAAAGAATCTGGGAATGTTTCTGGCTTGGATCACTGTAATGGGGCACAGGGCAAGGGGTGCCCTGGAACATGGGAGAAAACCCCCACAGCCCTTGGAAGCTGACAATATAGATTAAGATACTTTGCATACCTATGGCAAGCTGCTAGCTAGTTTAACAGCTATGATAATAGCTTGTGCTACTGCACTGGGGGAAGAGGTGTGACTTTCAGGATTTAAACAAAGGGCAGGGAGAGAGCCTGGAGATATTCTGCCACTCGGCTTGGGAGGAAGTAGAAGAGCCATGTGAAAGGGAGAACTAAGCTACTGTGTAGTTGGTACTCAGGTTCCGGCCATGCAGCCTGGTGTGGTGAAGAAGGAGACACATTGCTGCTTTGATCGTGTCTGTTCTAGCTGACTCTGAAGACCCTCCCTTACAAGACGCTGACCTGCTGCCTTGCTAACCTGGACTTTATCTGGACTCTTGAGACTTATGTCTTTCCTGGACTTGACTATGATCCAGTGCTCCATGGCACAGGTATTCCTGGACTATTACGTGGAGGCTGATGACTTTGTACCCCAGATCCTGAGGGACAGAGCAGCTGCATGAGAATGGCGACTTTGGTACCTTCCAGAGGGAATGAAGAACTGTTTGTACAGCTGGCTGAAGATAAGAATACAGGGAACTATTGGGTTTTGCTTTTGGCTTACAGCCTTTTGGGGAACAAGGGAAGTGCTGGGCCTCATGGGAAAGGAGGACTCCAAGCAAAAGTGCCCTGAGCCCCGCTAAGGTTGAAATATTGTAAATAAAGGCCTGTTCCTTTCCATACTGATTGTTGGGTCACGTACCAAGGTACCACATGAATGGGCCCCCCAGCTGCTTGGTTACAGCACCACCAGCCGAAATGGGAATATATGAAAAGCAAGTCTGGGAGAAAGATGCTGCTTGGGGCATGTGGAGGACCAGACCCCCGTAGCTTCTAGGGGAGGGAAAGTTCCTCCTCCCCACCCAGAGGGGAGAAAGACTTGGCTCTGCGGGAATGCTAGTAAGCAGAGCTGGCTCCTGCATGGGAGGGAAATCGGCAGCATTGTTCAAATCGTACTCTTGAACTCGGTCCATGTGGCAAGAAAATAGGGATAAGGTGGCCTGATCAGTCCAGTCACCTCTCTCCAGGTGGCTTTTTTTCCCATGTGTGCCTTTCAGCAGAGCATTCAAAGCCTGGAACAGGCCAATGATTTTCTTCCTCTGTCACTGGAGGTTTAGAGAGATTGCCTTCTTTCATTCTTCACGGTGGCTCAAACCGAGAAGGCCTGGGGTGGACTGCCCAAGCCCACTCCCTTCGGCCTTAAATTCTGAAGACCTTTCTCTAAATACCACTGTAGCCCCTTTTCCTCTGGTACTGGTAGGTGTGGCCTCTTCTCTCACTGGAGTTGTCAAGAGCTGAGATTCAAGGTTGGAATTGAGGCACAATAGGCCTTAAAGGAATGTTTTGGGCTCAAAATATTCAGGCCTAGTGAGGAAAGAGTAAGTCTTCAGGACAACCTAAACCTTCTTTCTAGAACTCCATATAGGGCAAGAGACCACAGCCTCAGTAGGAAGACACACCCTTTCTGACTTGGCTTCCTTTGTGCACACACCTCACGGGGGCCTCTCGGGCAGAGATGATTCGGTGAGGACAAGGCTTCATATTCCTGGGTGCCTTGGGCAGAATGCCCATGTCACATGATCCCTGCCTGGTGGCGACTTCCAGCAGTGCCTATGGGGCAATTTCAAGCTCTAGAGCAGCAGCTTGGGAGAAAGAGGTGTGTAGGAGAAGGCAGAGGTGGGAGTAATAGCACAGAACACAAGTTGATGAGCTCATCCAAGGAAGAATAACAGATAAGAAGAGAAGAACCCAGGTAAAACTTCCAGGAACAAGTACTATAAACTCAAAAAGCCTGGTGAGAGGCAGAAGGAAAATAAACAAACAAAAAAAAACAAAAACAAAATTGATATACAAAGCCAAGGGATGGAGAGCCTAACAGGCTTTAATAGCTTCAAATGATGGTCTTGGAGGAGGAGTGTATGAGCTATGGGAAAAAAACGTAAACAAGAAAACTGTTGGGCAATATATTACAGAGTTATGAACAATGGGCTTAGGAGGACAGCAGGAGTAACTACTCTAGAAAGCATCACAGAAGAGACAAATGAGCTGGACCTTGAAGGGAGTAGATGAGAAAGGGAAGAGTGACGGCAAATACATGTATGAAAGGACCTGGCATTCCAGAAGGGACCAGAGCTCAAGGGCCAGCCTCATCATCTTTGGTCGTTCCAATCCTACAGCGTCCCAGGCTTAGAAGAATCTGATTGTCCACTTGATGATTCTGGAGAACACTGCCCATCACCACAGCCTGGAGCCCTTATCAGTGTATGGCGCACACTCCAAAGGGCCTTCATACAGTTCCTTAGCATTTTCCCTAGTCTCCAGAGTTGTCCTTTCACACCTTCTCCGTATTCCTCCCACTCCTCCTTCACTTCTAGGGGACCCCCCCTCGTTCTGCTTCAAAGGAACCGTTCACAATTTACTACCACCCAATGTATACTTTATTTGCAAATGTCCTCCTCTTTTCTACTGTCTAACCACCAATCTGAGGTCGAACCTATCCCCACCCGCATATCCCTTGCGGACATTCAGGGATCCACTCTCCTGGTATTCTCTCATTCCCTTATCTTCCACACCATCATCTCGCTGACCTCAGCCAAAAGGTTCAAGCCTCTCTAACAAGAGGGAAAGCCCTTCCCCAACCGCACCTCCTCTTCCAGCTTAACAGTTCACCTCAATTTTAGCTTCCAAAGCCAAATCCGAGTTGTTTGCCCCCATTGACTACTAATCCCCCATCCCCCACTCATTCTTTGAACCACTGGACCTACTACCACTTCAATGAAACTGTTTTTGGCACAGTCACCAACTAACTCCTTGGCTTGAAATCCAAGACATCACTTAGTTCTTATTTTTTGACTCCTCTACAACACCATTAGTCATTTTTGACCAATTTCCTGCCTTCTGAAACATTCTCTTACTCTGGCTTCTAAGGTGTATGTCTTTCAAGTTTCCCTCCCCCTCCCCTGGCTGCTCCTTCTCACTACTACTATCTGTGGGCACTACTGTCTCTGGACCTTTGGCCAGTATTGGTCCTTAAGGGTTCTGTTCTGAGCCCCGCTCCCTTCCCACCATCACAGTCTCCTGGGATGATCTCATCTACTCACAAAACTTCCTGCTAATGATTCCCCAAAGTATATATTTAGATCTTTTTCCTAACTTTTATACTCAGTTGTCTTTTGGACATTCCACGGGTCCCTCAAATGCAGATTAAAATCATAATACAAGAGTGTTTTCTACTACATCTAATCCTCTTGCTGTGCTCCTTATTTCACTATCCCACTATCCTTCCAGTTCCAACTCTAAAAACTAAGAGATTAATCTTGACATCTTCCATACTTTCCACAAATGTCATCACTTACTCACAAAGTCCTGTGTATTCTACCTTCTCTCTTTCAAAAGCACTCAATTCTTTTCGTTCCTTGCCTCTATTCTTCCTGCAATCATTCTCTCTCAACATGATTACTACAAGCACCTCCTAAGGGGCGTTCAAGTTCAAGTGTTGTTCTCTCCAACCTACTGTACTTCTGCCAGCCAGGGAGCAATCTCCCAAAATGCACATCTGTGTATACTTCTCCAGGCTCCATGCCTTCCTACTGCCCTTAGGAAAACAACCAAACAATCTCCTACACTTGGTAAATAGATCCTTCATGATCTGTCCGTGCTTCCTTCTCCAGCTTCATTTCCTGCTATTTCCTCAGCTTTGCACTCTATGCTCAAGCCACACGAATTTTTGTGAGTTCACCAAATGCTCCATGTACCCTGGCCAGGTGGCTCAGTTGGTCCTGTACACCAAAAGGTGGGTTCAATCCTGATCAAGACACATGTCTAGGTTGCTGGTTCGATCTCCAGTCGGGGAGCATATGGGAGGCAACCGATCAATGTTTCTCTCTCACATAGATGTTTCTCTCTCTCTCCCTTCCTGTCTCTCTAAGGTCAGTAAACATGTCCTCAGGTGAGCATTAAAAAATAAATAAATTAAAAGAAAAATGTCCCATGCTCTCTGTTTCCCCGCTGAGTCATTTCTCTGCACAGACTTTTCGTTCTGGCCAGAACATGCTCAGTGTCCCGCTCCCACCACAGCTGCCTGTCTCCCCACTGCTGACCTCTGCCCAGACCACTTCTCCTGGTGGCTCCCCCTGCTCCATTCGGACAACTAGCTACAGCCTCTTGTAGAGCCTGGTACTTCACCTACAATAGCAATCATCTCGCTATAATGTCCTGAGTCATTTATACTTCTTAATGCTAGCTTCTACTTATCTCATCCCTGTGCCTCTAACGTGGCAAGGGTTTGGTAAGTGCTCAAAAAACAAAACAAAACAAAACAAAACTATTAAGGGCTTTTCAGGCCAAATTAAGGAGATTTAATTTCATGCTTTACATAAAAGGGACACAGCAGCAGTTTTTAAAAGGGGGAGTGAAATGACCTGGTGGTGGTGGTGGTGGGGTAGTCTTTCTGACATACATAACTAGCTTCAAACATGAGTAAGGTTGCATCAGACTGTAACTTCAAAGGTGCACAGGGACCCTACCTTCTTGTAAGCCAAGAAGCTCTTGGAATCTGGACCCAAAACCACATTTTGACTGAATGCTGTGGTTTAAGGACCATGACAGTCTAGCCCCTGCTCGAGTGCTCACCTCCCAGCTCTTGGTGGTCGGCTCGCTGAAGAAGTTGTCAATCATATTCAGTTCTTCCTTTTCCACCACCACAAAGCCTTGTTCTTTGGCATCTTTCCCATAGACGTCAGGAGACCACTGAACAAAGAATGTGTACAAGTGATCCACCCTGAAAAACATGTTCATCAGAGGAATTAGCATCAAATCTGCTTTCCTGGCAGGCAGCAGCAGGGACTCAGGCACGTCCAACCATCTTTTTCCTGCTCGGCAAATCCATTTTGCTAATTGGGAAATTTCTCCCTGTGAAGATGACCTCTACTAGAACATTCCAAACTTGGGGAGAATAAGTGAACAAATGAAAGCAGAAGGCCACAGGCCCTGAGAAACTGTATTTCAATCTAAAAAAAAAAGTGATGGGACATAAAATTGAAAAACACAACAAAATATACCAATGTTTTCCTCATTGGGTCTTCATTTATTATATCCTTATATTTGCTGGAAGAAATTAATCTGAGGCTTAAGATGGGAACAAAGATAAACAACATTCTAATAGGTCTTTTTGTAGAATGAAGCACTATTATAATTTTAATGAAACACCTTTAGTAACTACAAAGTGAGTAACACTAGCTATTATTTAATATTAGAAATGGAGCTAACTACATTGACATGGGAATGTAGTTTGCTTCCAATTTCTCTGTTCTTCTTATACAGATTTAACACCTAAAGGTTCTGAAGCATCTCTCCAGGCGTAATCAATAGAGAGATGGCCGGTTTCCAAGCAGAAAATGATAGCCCTCAGTCCCAACACCTGCGATGTCCCCCCTAGGTATGCAAGTCACAAGCTCTCTGACTTTAGATTCCACACCTGTGACCATCCCAGTAATGGGAGTGGATGATAGGTAGGATCAAATGATTCTTAAAGTCTTTTCTCATTACAAAATGATCATGCCAATTTGAGACAATATTGACTCCCTGTTATGTAAAAGTATTATACAGTAACAATATTGCCATAGCTTGAATGTTTGTATCACCCCAAAATTCATTGCTTGAAACCTAATCCCCGATGTGACAGTATCTGGAGGTAGGCCCTTGGAGAGATGCTTAAGTCTTGAGGACAGAGCCCTCCTGATTGGGGCTAGTGTCCTTATGAAAGAGACTCCGTGGAGTCAGCTCGCTCCCATTCAGCACACGAGGACATGGTGGAAAGGTCTACCAACCAGGACAAGTGCCCTCACCGGAAAACAAATCTGCCAGCACCTCGATCTGGAGGACATCTCAGCCTTTACAGCTGGGAGGAGCACATTTTTGTTGTTTATAAGCCCCCCAGTATATGGTATTTTGTTACAGCAGCACAAATGAATGGAGACATATATTAATAGAACTAAAACAACATAAAAAATGTCACACACAATTCTGATGTTCTAAGGGCTCAAACTGTGTTTAGGTTCCTACATTCCTATCTGTGCTTGTCCACATGTGCAGTGTTCTCATCACTGTAATCAAGGTCATTGTAATCAAGGTCAAGGCATAATTATTTGTTAGATGTCACATAAAATAATGCACATATGCCATGTTGCTAGTCTCTGTATTGATTTTTAATGGCTACATTTCATGAAAGTAGTGAACCATAATTAGCCTGCATTCTTATGCTTTCAGGATATTTAGCTTATTCTCTATCTTTGTACAAAATGGTATAATGAACATCCTCATGATCTATGCCTTTTACCATCATCTTTTAAATTATTTCCTCAAAGTTCGTTAACAGAAAAGGGATTACTGGGCCAAAGGGCATATTTTATAGTGTGTGATTCATCTCGCCAAACTGCTTTTGAAAGACTGACTCCTTTAACACCTGCATTGCAGCTGCCTCCAAGTTTCATAACAATGTTGACTATCCTTTAAACAGATGAATTTAATATAGACTTAAGTTTTATCTGACTCACTCTGCATTTCTGTGATTGTTAGTGAGATGGACATTTTTCAAATGGTTTCTTCCTGGCCGGCTGCAACTTTCCTCTCACGGGCTGGCTCTTTGTGAGTCAGTGGCTCATTGTGGAATCAATGTTTTCCTTTCCGGTTTGCAGGAGCCTTGATACAATGTAAACCTTAACTACTACCAAATGTGTTTCTAAGCTGTCGTTTCCCATTAATCATGTAGTTTTTTCTATAATACAAAGTTACCAATTTTCATATATATTATCTAAAGGCATACTTCGAGATTTCTCCTATTCCTTCAAAATTTGAAAAGTGCTCACACAAGACAAGGTGTGTATCAGTGTGTATGATGTGCAACCACTTCTATGCAAAAATAACAGATACAGATGTATGTTATAACTGTACATGAAAGTGGTGGCTAATTTTATATGTCAACTTGGTTTGGACTTGGCCAGTCAAATGCTAGTGTAGATGTTGCAGTAAAGGTTTTTGTTGTTGTTGTTGTTTGATGTAATTAACATTTAAACTAGTAGATTTCAGTAACACAAATTACCCTCAATATTGTGAGTGGGCATCACCCAATCAGTTGAAGGCCTTAAGAGAAAAACTGAAGTCTCCTGAGCAAGAAAGCATTGTCTCTAGTTGGCCTTTGTACTTGAGACTGCAAAATCAACTCTTCTCTGGGTATCCAGCCCATCAGGTTCATCAGGTTACCCTTCAGAGATTGGAATTGCCAGCCTCCACACCATGTAAGCCATTTCCTAAAAACAAATCTCAATCTCTCTCTCTCTTTTTCTCTCCATACACACACACACACATCTTATTATTTCTGTTTCTCTGGAGATCCTTGGCCAATACAGTGTACTACTCTATATAAGAAATTGTAAGTCGATGTAGGAAACTGATCAAAATGGTTACCTCTAGGGAATAAAATAGAGTGGAAGAAAGGTATTTTACATCATATCTTTAAGTTATTTTAATTTTTGGAAGACGTAGTACATTTTTATAATTCAAGCATCAAAGTTATATTTCAAAAAGCAAATACTGAGAAGTTTCCTTTGTCTTCTCCCCCAAAACCCTGCCCACCACATTCTGTGCCCACCCTGTTCCTCTATACGGGATCACTTTTTTAGTTTCTTGTGTTTTTGTAGTGTTATGTATATATAAATATGAATATGTATTCTTTTTGTTTTCCATTTCTACAAATGATAGTACTATTCTCTACCTTGGTTATTTCACTTAAAATATGCTGACTATCTTTCCACATCAGTACATTGGTGGCTTCCTCATTCTTTTGCTTATAGCTACACAGTCCTTTACTGCATGGATGTATCATAGTTTACATAACCATCCTCTACAAGGGCTATGCACTTGGGCTGCTGACAGCACTGTGCTGTTATCAACAGTGTTGCAATGAATAAGTTGGTACGTGAGTCATTTCACACACGTACAGGTACAGCTACAGTGTATATTCCCAGAAGTGAGACAGTGTTGTCAAAAGAACAAGTCAGTACAATTCTGATATATTATAACAGTGTTGCCCTTTTGAGGGGTGTCATTGTTTGCCCTCCCACCAGCTATACATAGTCTTTGTAATCTCTGGACTACACTTACCAAATCGTATGAAATTTCCTAGTAATAATTAACTTAGAAACAATGAAATAAATCACCAGAGAGGTTTGGTAGATATACAATTTTAATTATTTTGGTTTTCTACACTTAAAATTTCACCCATCTTAACCGTATATTTTGTAACAGAGTTGAGAATCAAACAGGCTTCAGTTGCACTTTTGGAAAAGAAGATATTATACATGTATATCCACACTGGATAAAATGGCTTTCTGATTATTTGTTGGCTAGCTTACTTGTGAGAAAGAGAAAAGCAGTCCCTGATACCTGGGATCTAGCCTGGTCCTTATTAGCCAGGCCCCAGTGCTGCTAGGATCTAGCTGGTTACTCACAGAGGTGCTTTGGGAATTTCCAGTGGAATATAAACAATTGTACAAAACATTAACATCAGATAAGGCCACTCTATCACCATGATGAATTATGATAAAAACAAGACCCCTCTGAGGTCTTATATCTGAACATGGCAAAAACACATCATTGTCCAGCCATAAAAATGATCAAACATCCCTCTAATGTGGTCACTATGAATGACTGCTCTTCTTTACCAGCTATAGCATGAATCTCTCTAGCCTTACCTCCCAGCTAAGATTTAGAAGAAACCCAATCACAGAATGACCTCTGCTTTCTGACAACCTAGAGCAAATTCCCAGTTCCATAAGTCCTCCCTGAATCACCTAACACGAACCTAAATCTCACAACTCTTTTCTAGCACTTTCTTCCTGAATCGGCCCATGGTTCCACGGTGCACACTGTCCTTCACCGCAAGGAGTCAACCCAATTCGTTCACCTGGAGGTGGGTTGCTAGTGGTCCCTGGCTGGAGGGCACTGCTTCCTTTGACAACACTCCCTGTGCGCCCACTACATGCCAGTGAGACTGACCTTGCAGAGCTTACCTTCTAGAACGTGACAGCTGGCGGGGACATTGGATATCATTTAATCCAACTAACTCTCCTTTGTTTGAAGCAAACGGGGGCTCTGAAGTCGGCCCTCCACATCATGGCCAGAACTAGACCTCGTGAGGTGGCAGGCAGAGTCCTCTCAACCGCACTACAGAGTCCTCCACTGAAGTCCACACTGACTTCTGAACCGCTTCTCAGTGAACGTCTTAGTTACGACACAAGACAATTTTTATCAGTTTTTGGACCCACTTCCCACAAACAACCATTCGTTTGTTTGTCCTCTAACACTTTGTCCTGATGGGGAAGTCACTGCACAAGCATGCACACTCAAGCAGCGTGGCAGGAAGTGCTAAAAGCTCCTGCTGACACACATCCCTGCACAAGACTGCAAGGGAATGAGGGAGAAGGCACGAGTTTGGAGTTAGGATTTCATTTCTTGTCAGACATTATAAGAAAATATTAATTGTGAAATCTGCAGGTCTACAAAGACTTTAAGGAGCGATCTTATCTTAGCAATTGCCAGTCAGTTCCCTTTTTGGCGATGGGGACATTAAATCGCCTGAGGAGACCATTTGAGCAGTCCTTTGTGATTATGAAGGTGGGAGGTAGGAAGGACCCATTATTCTGGAGGAGGATATAATTAGACATTCTCTGCTTAATGAAGACTACCCATTCCCACAACCCACTGGGAGAGTGAAATGGATGG